TACTGCAGAGCGGCCGGGGAGATCGTGGATGGGGGGGGGGGTCAGGGGTAGCAGCCCAGCCCCAGCCTGCCAAGGTGCCACCTCGGCCAGCTGGACAATCTAGGCCAGAGGCTCTACATGGGACTAGGCCTCACCACGCCACTCTGTCAGGTGAGTACTTTGTGCTATAGAGTCCATAAATACTGCTATAGAGTCAGCATGTACTACTGTAGTGATAGCAGGTACCACCACAGTCGGTATGTACTGATGTAATCATAGCAGGTACCACCACAGTCAGTACGCACTGCTGTTAGATTTTTAAGAGTAGTTTTGAAATATTTTTGTTGGCCCGGGCAACGCCGGGTATATAGGCTAGTGATTTGTAAAAACAAACAAGGAAATCACATCATCACAGTTGATCAGCCAAATGAACAGAAATATATATTTTAAAAAACACGACGTTAATCGTTACCACTGCCTTGGAATACAAACGTATATAATCGACCAACGATTTGAACAATGACCCCTCTTGGAGCACATCTAGAAATCAGAATAATAAAATATAAATTACCCTTCCAATTTCACTATGTACTGTTGCGAGGTAATGTGTTTGTGATAATTATTCTTAATTTTGTATCATTTTACAGAATTGCCGAATCGCCCCCGTAATGCTTTATATTGGAAATTAAATACAATACACATGTATGTATGTTAAATTTCTTTCGCACTATACGTAGCCAATCGAGCTAATTGGAGGTGCGAAGTTACATAAAGTTAGCAGATGTATTGTTCGCGTTTAAGCAACACATGCGAGGTCCCGTACATTGTACTCTTGTGGGATCCCATACATTGTACTCGCATATCCCGTACATTGTAAACGTACATTGTGCACACGTGTCCCGTAAATTGTACACATGCATTGTACACACATATCCCGTACATTGTAAACGTACATTGTGCACACGTGTGCCGTAAATTGTAAACATACATTGTACTCACATATCCCGTACATTGTAAACGTACATTGTGCACACGTGTCCCGTAAATTGTACACATGCATTGTACACACATATCCCGTACATTGTAAACGTACATTGTGCACACGTGTCCCGTAAATTGTACACATGCATTGTACACACATATCCCGTATATTGTAAACGTACATTGTGCACACGTGTCTCGCACATTGTACACATACATTGTACACACGTGTCCCTTAGATTATACACGTACATTGTACACACGTGTCCCGTACATTGTAAACATACATTGTACACACGTGTCCCTTAGATTGTACACGTACATTGTACACACGTGTCCCGTACATTGTACACATACATGTACATACATATCCCGTACATTGTACACGTGCATTGTACACACGTGTCCCGTACATTGTTCACGTGCATCCTATGTGTCCGTTCCGCAGAGATATTTTGAAACGCGGTGGCTGAGCACAGGCCCAATGGCCCAAGACATAAAACAGCCAGCAGCAAACATCACTGTTATCAAAGCTGTAATTGTAAAGCGTCAACGCGTTTGTTGAATAGAGCGAGGTTATTGTTGCGAGAGGTTTGGGGAGAGAGACGATCGGAGACAATTCCAGAATGGGGCAGTGCGAGGGAAGAAGTCGAAAGAGAAGTGAGGTGACCTGTGGAGTGGTGAGTGGGTGGGTGAATTGGGGAGTGGGTGAGTGGTCAGCGTGTTGTGACCTTTAGTGTGGTGGTTGATCACTATGTGGATGAGATGACACAGTGTGTGGTGGTGGACCGAGTACTTTGACCATCGGGCAATCTATTTGCATCAGCCGCGTCTCGTCGTGTGGGTGACAACCGATGATTTCCGATACGTTCTGCTCATATGCCAAATAATACGCGAATGTAGCGTGCACGCCAATGAACCAAAGACGAGAGTGTGAACGAGACGGACGACACGACAGTCGTAACTAGACGATAACTCATTAGCGAACGTGCCGGTGATCAGTGGCGTCACTGCGGCGACGTCACGACACAGCCACGCGAGTGACAGAGCCGTCTATGCGCCGGGACGGGCCTGACCGTGATTTCAAAGAATTATATAAATATATAAATGCATACGTTACATCGTTTATAAAATCATATATATAAAATCATTAACCAAGTATACACACTCGCGGATGACAGCCCGGCACACAATCTGGGGTGTAGCTGCATTGAGTATATATACTGTAACATAGATGATGTTGAGAGCAACGACCGATCTTGTTCTCCAGAACAGAGAGAGAGAGATTGTCTGAGCGACTTGGTCAAACCCCGCATTTTAAGGAAACCGAGGTGAATTGAAATGTTTTGCTTGATTTGAATACATAAACCGCTTTGAGTTGATCCAAGAACAATTTCCCATTGGCAGCGACCGAGTAGCAATTAGTAACAACTTAACGCCTACAACTGAGAAAATAATACTATTCTTGCAAATGTAACACTTCACGGACGTAAGTGACCGTGACCGAGGCGCGGAGCCAAGCGCAGTGTCGCTCGAAGCCAGGGGACGGAGGTGCGGACGCTGAGCGTCTCTCGAGGCCGTGCGTCGTGAGCGCTGCCGCTGTGAGTGGGCAACGGCAGCATCGGGGACGATGGCCGCGTTCCACACGGCGGGGCCTGCCGCTGAGAAGCGGCTGCGACTGTGGTCCTGCTCCTTGTTGCAGGGAGTTCTACAGTGAGCGCAGAGAGAGAGAGGGAGACGACGGGGTGGACCGAGGCTCAGACAGCAGGGGCTCTGGCAGCCGGCTCTGTTGCTGGCGATGGGGAGTCCAGCTGGGGGAGGTGGAGGAGCTGAGGACAAGAGGCGCGAGCGAGACGTTTTTCTCGGCCGTTGGAGTTTCTTGAGATTACTCGGTGGAGATGGACCAAGGAAGGAGTTGCAGTCGTCGGGGCGAGACGACGCTGCAGGCAAGGGTGTTGGCGATTCGGGTGGTGACGAGTGGACGTCAGTGACATAGGGCCCTGAGGTGGAAGATGTAAGATCTGATGATGCGGTTGGAGTGGCTGAAATTCTAGTTTACTGAGTGCTCACCTGGTTGAAGAACATAAACCTGAAACTTCAACTCACGAGCAGATTGGATCGACACTCACTCACCAGGCCTGCTGTCTCCTACAACAGCGCTCCCGCATGCTGTGTGTCGCCTTCGTCGGCGGGACGGGAGGCGAGCTCCTGCCAGGCGAGAGAAGACCATGCAGCCAAAGAACAGGGTTGTAATTAGTGAGAGTCGTTCTGGAGATTATCAAAAACAAAATTAATAAGCAGACAATGCGTCTCCCTCACATATCTGTCTTTCCACATAATAGTACTATGTTTTAACACGTTCCATCAGCCGCCCGGTCTTCTTTCTGGGAGTGAATACTTTCAGCACCATTGGTTCTATGAGGGCAAACTCTGGATCGGTTTCAGAATTCAGTGTCTCATCAGCAGTCAGGCTTGCTTGAATGTCTGAACCGGTCCAGATGTTTGTTTGTGTTGCACCAAAGCATATTTAAATTATGTGTTCGCAGACGGGTCTATGTGGCTGATGGGATGTGTAAAATACGAGTAAAAATACTTCTGTACTTACCATCCCCACGGTCAGTGCATCTGAGATGTTTGTCAAAATCACGCGGCGGGGGCGGCGGTTCCACTGTCGTCACAACGAACGTCTTAAGAATAAAAGCCAAGGGAGTGGAGGCACGAGGCGACGTGAGGGAGACGATGCCTCCAGCACGAGGCGACGTGAGAGAGACGATGCCTCCAGCACGAGGTAGCGTGTCACGATCTTCCAGGCACGAGCGACTTTAGCGACAAAAGAGAAATATGATACAAGGGTCACACTATTTTAATACTCCCATAATACTCCAGCACGTTTTTGTCTTTCCGCACACTATTCATGACCAAGGCGAAATAGGTACATGTCAAGATAATACTCATTGCTCACAAACACTAATATAACGCAGACACCCCCAATACATACCACATGCTTTGGGGCAAGTGCTGTTCGCGAGAACGTTTGAAGACACTAACGGCGCACGAAAAAGTTATGTGGCCAGAACCACCCCCGGCCACATTTGTCTCCCTGGTTGAGATGTATAGACACACATCTGATGTTAGCCGTGGCTGGGAATTGAACCCTGGTGGCAAGGTTCGTAGAGCAGCGCGCTAACCGGTGCACCACTGCACTCCGGACCCACACACGCACACACACGAACACTCTCTCACATATATATGTAACGGACTGACATTGTCACAAACACATACAAAGATCCCTCGTGTAGCCTACGCAGGCTGTTGGGGCACGTACTGTTAGCGATCACCTATGAAGACCAGCAGGGCTCACGATGGAGTGGTGTGTGCTCGGTGCAGATATCACTCGTCAATGATGTTAGCCGTGGCCGGGAATCGAACTCGGGTTGTGGAGTTTGTAGCGCAGCGTGCTAACCGCCGCAGCTCTCCACACACGCACACAGCGACACACACACCGATACACATGCATGTGCACAGCGACACACAAACGCACTTACACACGCACTTAGACATACACGCACGAAGACACACACGCACACGCACTTACACACACACATGCTCGCACACGTGGCGGTGCTCAGCCCGCCGGGTACGCGCACATACGTACAGTGTCTACATTATGCAAGTGTTACGCAGGAATGGCAGCTATGCGCTTTTCGTTAAAATCCGCACACAAATGAAAGTTGGTCACAAGGAGCGCGAGACGCTGGCACGGGCAGCGTTCAGTCACACCGAGGGGAGGGGCTGTGGGGGCGAGCGGGAGGAGGGATGGAGAGGGAAGGGGGAGGCGACGGGACTCCCCTCGCACGCGTGAGAACACGGGCGCCCTGCGGGGAGGGAGGGAGACGCGGGGTAGAAAGGGGGTTGAACGGCGCCCTTTGCGTGACAGGGAGTGGCCTTGGCGAGGGCGGAGACACTCTCCTGCACCGGCCTTGTGGAGAGGGGGGGGGGCGATGGGTGGGGGGCGATGGGTGGGGTGCGAGCGCGGAGGGAGATGATGGAGGGGGAGGCACACGGACATCGCCACACGCGCGTGTCGCCACCATTAGCGAGCAACTCCGGCAAACGCGCTCCGTGGGCACCGCGCTCGCCTTCATCCCCCATCGCTGCCGCTGCGCCGCAGCTGTAGTTCTTGTGAGGGTCGTGAAGACCTCGAAAGGCTGAAAGAGGAAGAGAGCTTTTCCATCGCATCTCTCTGAGCAATTAGCGTATCGTCTCTTCTGTCGTCTCGCCGTAATTATTTATTCATATCGGGACGCGGCCGCTCTTAAAGGGCCGGTCACGGGCACGCATGCGTTTAAAAAGTGAGCGATTATCGCAGCGACGTAAATCTACGATTTCCCCGGTCCCATCGCTGGGCGCGAGGGGAGAGGCGGCGGAGCGCGGTCGGACCCCTGAGCGCGGAGAAGGGACGCCACCCGCAACCCCTTGAGCCGCTGCGCTCGGAGGAGCTGGGAGCTTCGGGCGAGCCGGGGTCTCCCACTGTCCAAGGCGTGCGAGGCGGCGCGACGCTCGGCATGGAGAGAATGAAGGAGGGGACTCCACAGCAGCAGCAGGGGATGGTGGCGCCGCGTTTGGCCTTCAGCGTGGACGCGTTAATGTCGGACCTTCGAGAGCGTGAGAGAGAGCGTGAGACGGATCGTGAGACGGAGCAAGACATCTCCACCATCAAAGGCGGTGGCGCTGACGCTGGAGACACTGAGAGTCCGACAGCTGCAGAGACTCAGAGAGACAACGGCCCCTGGGGTCCGCCATCGAAGTTCTCGTCTCCATCAAGTGAGTGCAGAGGTAGAGCGAATAAGCAGATAATCTGCCTCGTCCGTGTAGAATTTCAGCGGCATTGGATACGAGTACACCTCTGGACCGGTTTCGGCATTGAGTTCATCAGCAGGGTTAGGTTTGCTTTAAAGCAATGCTGATGAGCTGCCAGATTTTTTTATACAAAAGATATGACAGAACAGCATCACACAGGGGCGGTGGGGAATGGTTAAACGTTACAAAAACAAAACCACCTTGAGTTAATACGAGACAAATAGCAAGGGTAGTGTGCGTTTAGAATTTAACTGAATTTATCTAGATTAATCTAAGGATGAGGAGTAAATTTTAATTACAGCGCAAATTCATTGTGCGAGCATCAAGTCTGGAGCTGCTCAGTGACTTCCCTTTGAGCTGACGCCGAATAGCGAACCTGGTCCAGGATTTGCTTGGGCAAGATGTGTCTGATGGGATGTGTAAATTATACCTCTGTGTTTTTTTACGTGGAGGCAGATTTGTTCAGAACGCGTCTTGTCTGTTTATTTTGTTACTTATATTCTCCACAGCGACGATAACGATAATTCTGTGTTGTGCGTCTAACTAGGACCGGTATCTAAGAGAGAGAGGGGTCCTCGCCGATAAACATTGCGCAGTTCTCCAGCATTAGTTCCAGCAAGTCTGAGTTTCTCATGTGTGGAATACTTGCTGCTGGAATTAATGGCGAGAGTGCATGTGTACGCATGGCATCGTTTGAGAAATGTCTCCTCGTCTGTGGGTATCGTGCTGATTAACTCGTGATCAATCAGTATATTTAATAAACTTGCTGTGGCGTTTTTATGTTAAACAGCGACTATATGAGATGTATAATCCGTTGTTTGGTTTCACTCGCGAGGGGCAAGGTCATCTCAAATGTCCACATTGCTTAAATTCGCGTCCTCAGCAAAAACATCTGCATCGCGAGTAAACCAAGTGATTCGCCCTCCCCCCCATCGAGTGTGAGGCTAAAGCCGATTCAAGGTGCGCACAGACGAGATAATCAAAGTGAGTCCACGTTGACGTTCGTCAAAGTCAAAAGTCAGAGTGATTTGTTGCTCAACTGAGCATTGAGGCATCGGTGTTCATCTCCCTTTTATGGATCTCAGCCAGCGGTGGAAATTCCACATTACGATAACGGGGCGAGTATATCCACGAGGACATCCACTGTTGACTTACCCACAAAGTGGTACTATATATTTTTGTTAATCGAACCCGGAGGGATGATATTCTGAGTAAACCACCACCACGACCAGGAGTTAAACTCGCCACCTTCCGAAGTATAACATCTAGTAGGTCACCACCATTGGTTCAAGCAAGCTTGACGATGCTGATGTGACCATTAATGGCTAAACCGGTCCAGAGTTTTGCTCGTGTTGAACCATTGCTGCTGAATTAATTTACTTGGAAAGAATGCCATGTGGCTGATGGGATGTGTAAAACTAATATTTTTGTGTGTGGAGGGACAGATATAGGAATGGGATGAATTGTCCATGTATTTATTTTATAGGCTGTAAGCGCGTTTATACTTTGGACTCACTGCTCTCGGTCAAATGGCTGGAATTCCCACCGCTGTTTCGGGGCTGTATTCGACATACCACAAGATACCACAACGCCTTGTCGCCACACCAGGCAATGTTAGCTACAGATGCAGCAGTTTCGCGAGCAAGAAATTGCAGGGCTGCGCCTTTACCGTTTCACGTGATATGGGACCAAGGGTTGAGGATTCGATAGTGTATATATACACTATACTATATAAAATATAAAACAGACGCAGGTTACGGCTCAGTGGTAGAGTGAGTAGCTCGCAATGGGAAGGCTGCGAGTTCACATCCCCGTTGAGGCTGATTCAGCTCCTAAATTCCTTACTCCGGGGTCGATAAAATAAGACTTTGCAAAATGTGCAGGAATCTAGCAGACGGCAGGAAGCGGTGGCATCGACGGCATTGCTTGGGATGACCTCTTGATGATGACCTTGAACTCTGTTCGCGAGGTGTTTGGGAGATCCGACGGGAACGCGAACGCCTCAGTCGCGTCGCTCTCAAGAGGGTGAGGAAGAACAAACACTGCGCAGGCAATTCGCCTCCTTCTCATTGATCTGCTACATACAAAATAAAGATTTACTTTAAACACATCCCATCAGCCACACGGCCTTCCTGGAGTGCACAATTTCAGTAGCATTGTTTCATCACAAGCACTACTCTGGACTGGTTTCGACATTCGGTGTTTTGTTAGCAGTCAGGCTTGGTTGTAGCAATGCCGGTGAACTTCTCGACGTCCATAGGCAAAGATCCGCTGTGTTTGATGTGGATCTCCTAATCCGGGTTACAACTTTACACACAATACACAAAGCGCATCACTGCGTCGCACCGGGAATATCATGCAGGCAAATACTACTCGCGCCATGTCACGTCCTCGACCGGCAGACGACAGTCCACGTGCACACCGCTACTAAGTCACTTTGTGCCTCACAGGGATAGCTGCCCCTTGGGGTTTCCTTCGGATGGTTGAGATGAGATGCGAGACGATGTGAGATACCTTTAAGTAAGCGCCACTGTACATGCGGTACAGTATCATAATTATTGTGAAAATGTGCATTCAAGGCGGAGTGCGGTCCTGATGCTCAAATGAGCATTGAGGCATTGGTGCTCATCTCCCGTTTACAGCACTGCAGAGCCCGTGGTGTAAATTCCACATTGCTTTGGCAACTTCCACACAAAGCAGCTCGCGTGCGATCCGGGGAAAGCCCGCACGCAAGTTGCGATTACTGCGCGACCCGGGGTTTCAGCAACTTAGGATAATCCCACTTTGGAACCATGTTTATTTTGTGTACTGACAAAAATAATAGCATCAGCGATAATAACATAACGAATACAATAATATTTATATGTATATAATAACGGCAAGCCGAGCTGTGTGTATGTGTAGGTATATATGTGTATCCTATGTCGACGAGTATCTGCGTCAATGTGTGTATGACTGTGTATACGTATCAGTGTATATATATAGTTATGAGCGGTGGCGTGTTTTTGGTTTGCGCACTGGACTACGAAGCCGACGAGCTGAATTCAATCCCGGCTCACGGTCAATATCAGTGATGAATATCTAAATTGGCCCTGGACTTCCCCTAGGTCTACTCATCTTTGAGTAAACATACCCGCTGGGGAAACAAAGGCGGAGGGGTGTGGTGTTGGCCTCAAAACAATTAAATCAAGATCAAAACAATTACTCGGATAACTGATTACGAGAGTGAAGCGGCGTGCTGCTGTATGGCTTCGTCCATGGTCAATCCATTGCTGGATGAAGGCCTCCCTAAGCCTTCACCACCTCTCATGCAGCTTGATGCAAAAATTCCTCCAGCACTTGCATATAAACTGATCCCATCGCTCCATCTCTTCGGTGGCCTTGCTCTCTGATGCGTTCCGTTCCTTGGCTGCCACTCCATTGTGGTTCTTGACCATCGGCCACCACCGTCCCTTGTGGGCCGCGACGCGTCCTGCTGCCCCCCCCCCCTCCTCGTGGAGTGGAGGATGTCGTTCACCTGCGCGTGCTCTCTAATCCACGTGTTCCTCCTGCCTTGCTCTAGTCTTGTATATTATACCACATCGACTATATCTTTGTTACATCAAAGAGCGCTGTAGTTAATAGACGTATGAATGTGGTATATACATATCGAGTGTTGAGCGGAATAGACATCGGCCTGAGTCGGGGTTGAATGCGATATGGATCTGCACACCGCAATATTTATCAATACCAGACAACGTCCTCTCCACACTATCGATGATATTGTAGTGTTACACGATACAATATTGCGCGCGCACTACACACTTGCCCGCGCATTCTACGCATTATTCCGCATAATAAGAAGGCAAATATTAATTTATGGTGTTTCATAGCGAATGTTATAATTAATCATTTATTTTGGTTTAGGCCACGTGGTCAAATTCATGTGGTGAGACCTTCACCACCCGACACAGGCGAACAAAGGGAATGGTCACGTGAGCGAGCGTGTCGCGCATGTGCGCAACTAAAAGTATGGCCGGAAATGAACTTTGAGCTCGCCGGGTTCGTAGCGCAATGCGCTCAGCACGGCCACCGCTCCACACGTCAATCAACAATATCCACGTTGCATTGTTCACTATCATCGCATCATACTACACATGATCCCGTACTATATATGACGCATCCATGTCGTGACGCGCAACACGTTGTACCAATGCTCGTACCTCCACGTTGTCCTGTGCTCTGTAAGGCACACGACGTACACTCTCCACACTCCACACGACCACATACACAGCACGTGTTACTACTACTACTGTATGGGTAGAATACTACCCTTGCGATCTAGAGCTCACCGTTCGATCCCATCTCCCGGCGCGGCAGCTGAAACAATGGAGCAAGTTTCTCAAACCCCCCATTGCCTCTGTCCGCCCAGCGGGATGGATTCCTGCAGTCAAGAAAGCTTCAAATCAAGATAATTCCGTTACTTATATTTCCACAACTAGACGAATGAGTGGTTTTCGTGGTGTTGTACAGTTTTGAGTCGAGCGAGCACCTACATCTCAGAGAGAGATCTCGCCGAGAAACATCCGGGAGTTCACGAGCATCCGTCAGGAAGCCTGACTGCTGATGGGACACTGAATATAGAATCGGTTCTGAGTTATTCTTGAGTTGAGATTATGCACCCCAGAAGTTCGTGTGGCTGATGGGACGTGTAAAACAATAATTGTATTGTATGTATGTAGTTGAACTTATTTCGCACCGTACGTAGCCAACCGTGCTAATCGGAGGTGGGAAGGAGGCGCAATGTCTGCTTGTTTGTTGGTTATTGTTATCCGCCTGATCGTGTGGCTTGGACTATGGGGGTAGGGTTACGACTCTGGCCATAGCTGTCAATGGTGACATCAGTGAGATGGTTATGGAAGTGCAGGGGAGGTCCGTGTGGTTAGCCCTTTCAAGCTGGCTATGAGTCTGGGACTGTGGTTAGG